AAAAGTAGATGAATTACCATATGTTACAATTTTTCGCTTTTTAAAAAATCGATAACTGAGATATGCTACAATTGTGCAAATAATGAGACCTAATATAGCTCCAAGTAATATGGCAATCACAAAAACATTATGATTCGTGTTAGTTTGATTCTTTGGAGTTTCCGTAATGGTCGTCGTTGAGGTATTAGTTTCAGGTAATAATTTAATTTCAACACCGACCATAGTCAGTTCGAACTCAATAGAATTATCTTGGCCAATGCCTACAATGAAATCAATAGTATCATTTTCTCTGATATGGACGCCATACCAAGGAGAAATAAATGTCTTTGAATCTCCTATACCATTTATAGCAGTTTCCCAAAGTGTAACTCTATCATTATGTACTATATAACCACCTGTTTGTGATATACTTGAGGTATTATAAGTATTCGTTGTATGTGAAAATGATACATTTAAAGTATAATTCCCTTCTATTGGTGCAATAAATCTCGTTACAGCAAATCTACCATCAGTGCCGGGAGCCATTCCAACACTATTAGGGGCAAATTCTGTAATACCATCACCAAAACTATTATTAGCACTTTTATCGCTTAAAGTAATAGTTTGTTGATTAGGATTAAAATATACACCCAAATAATGAAATAATTGCCAAAAGTTGTCGACTGCAAACCATGCGACTATTCCACTGGATTTTGGATCAGGATCTAAGTGTGTGAACAAACTAAAGGCTCCTGAGACTTGATAACCTGCGGGCTTGGAACCGTAAGACCATACTGTATTGGGATTATGTATAGTAGAAAAGTCGTCGCTCAGAGACCATCTTGTTATGTTTGACATGATTATCGCAGTAGCTTTTAAAATCTTTTATTTAAACAAAAAATGTGTCAATACATTTATTATATTCTGGACTTGCTAATGGCTTTATGAATATGCATCAAAGTTAAGAATTATATAAAATATATACAGCTGCAATGGAAATGAAAAGAAAAAATTTGATAAAAATAAATTTGAAAATTTATTGCAAACAGAGCTCCATTTTAATAAATTTAGCAGCAAATAATAGCAGAAAAGAATTGATAATCAATGACGTTTATCGTAATCCTATGTCACCTAATTCAATGAAAGCATACCGATCAGAACTTAAAACATTTTCTATTCTAAGGGCTTGAATCTTAAAATATCACATTAATGTTAAATGAAGCGTTCGTTGTATTATTCATAAATTATTGCTTAGTACCAAAATGTCCAGCTATTTCTAGCATCTTAATAGCATCAGTAATATTATGACAACCACATAACCAAATTCAGTGAATATTTTTTATTTTAATCCTATGCATAGAATAAAAATAAACATTTTCGTTGAATTTATTCATGTAGTTATCTGATACCACTAGCACTATTTTAGATATTAGAGACAGCTGAATACTCTGCTTGGCACATAAGTACATATGTGAATGCAGATTTCTTTATGTACAACGATATTACGTAAAATAAAATCATGCACATATCAAGTAATTTGTGTTTAGCTTTACATCTTTGGTGCGGGACTGCATCAAAGTTTATACAAAATCAAGAATATACTTTACATAAAGTTGACATTTGTGGCTTTGTCGGGAAAAAACATTTTTAGAGATTCCGATTAGGCTAGTTCGGAAAAGCCTATACTAGATACCGTTTCTATTTATGCATCAATACAATAATTTATTTAATGTTAGTAAACTATAAAATCAGTAAAAAAGATAAATAAGGACCGGTATTTCTGGTATAATTTTTTCCGAACTGGCTCAAACGAAAGTCTTTCCCCCATTTATGAAACAAATAAACAATGAAGTGGATTCTAAAAATATACTTATGCTGAAATGAAATTTTAATCAATTTTAGGTCAACTTAAAGTTGATTTCCGTATTAAATAGATAACTTTAAATTTATAAATAATTAAACTATATTTAAGGTTGGATTTTGTATCAAGCATTGTATGTTGCAGCTTCTAAAAAAAAAAGATTCTTATAAGTTAAATTGCATTTAGATTTATACATGATTATTTATTGTAGGTGATAACTCTATTTCTATAAAGCATTTTTATTTTTTTGTTTTACAATTGCATTGACCGTTGCAAGTTTGGTTTTTAAAAAATGAATCACTTGCAAATTATAATTTCAGTTAAAATTTATTTATTGATCATTGATGATTAGTTCTAAATTCATTATGCGTATATATATATGTATTTATAAAGTAAAGAATTGAATTTCTTACCACTTTAGAATTCAGTTGCATATTTATTTACGTTTCGTTACCAGTATGGCGCAATTGTGCTTATTTTAGTATAAATTGATTTGACATATATAGATTATATATTTATAATCATGTAATTATATATATATATATATTTAATTATAAAGCATGTTATTTATAGTCTAAATATCTTTTAAAATACTGACTGGTTAAAAATAGATTAGAATTTAGTAATTATTCAAATAGTTGTATGTACGTACGCAAAATCTTGCCGCTTATTGGACAAATGCATATGGCGGAGTAAAGGTGTGAATGCATATTGAGCCGTACCTTCACATTATACATGTGACGCATTAGTCTATATTTAGCACGATATGATCTTTGTACTACTTTTCTATTGCAATATGGTAGCTTCTGATCGATTTATTTAAAGCCGATATCAAAATATCGCTATACACATGAGTGCGATTACAAGTGCCATAACAGATTATAGTCGAACTTGATTTTTATACATAAATATTGGTGACCCGATGCAAATTTACGTATCTATTTGCTGGATCTTTGGCATTTTCGTTTTTTTTTTTTTAGGATTTTTTATTGGGTTGATTAAATGATAATCAATGATCGTCAAAGATGATAGCGAAAGAATCTTTTGAGCGTTTCAAATGCATATAATCATTGGATTATATTTATTTTAATTAAAGGGTGAACCAATTTTCTGAAAAAATTAACCCTGATAAAAATCGGCCGTCACTATAAGCTTGTAGCAGATATATATTGAGATAATCTGATTACCTGCAGAACTGCATTTGTTAATACTAATTGATGATTAGATTATCTGGCACCATGTGTGCAATCAAGTAAAGTCATTTCTGTATAATTTAATTTATAGCTTAATTCTATTTATGTAATGAGATCCGAGTTACAAGATTTATCTACATTAAATATTGATTTTTAAAAACTTATCGTTATCGTTATTGCTAACGTGATCTTTGTGTACAATTAAATGAACTGAATATATCATTTTTTGCATTTTATCGATAAGCTATAATCATTATCCAAATATGTTAGCGTTAAATGTATAAATAGATCTTCCTAATCATAAACTAGTTAAAGAACAAGTTCATGCCCCTGTCAGAAACCGGTCTAATTTTATTAGCATAAAAAAGCAATACCAGAACCAGAGAGATATTAAAAAATTGAAAATTTCACAAAGTGTTACCAGAACGTAGTGATATTAAAAATTTCACGAAGCATGTCGTTATATTGCAAATTAAATAAATTAAATGTGTGTCTGAAGCAAGAGTGTAAATACATATCGAAACAACATATGTTACGTCTCGCATTCGATGTAACGCTTATTTCAAGATTTGTGTGCTGCATGAAATTTAGTCTAACTTTAAACGAGCTACATACCTGTTTTTGTATTTTTATTTTCTCATACCCCTTACGTACTTACTTGTTCATCTTGATTATCATTATAATATTCTATTTCTAGAATAAGATCCTAACTAGCTCCGCACGTGTCGCTACGTGCCACATTTTAATTTAATTATTACGAAGTATACTTATACCAATATAAAATGTTATCGCGCAAACCCTTATGATTATAAATTTTTTCTTCTTGTTATTTTTTGTATGTTATTACACAAATACAACAATCTCGAATTAAAACTCCAGTTAACCAATAATGACTTGTAAATCATGAACATAATTGCACAATAACATATTGGATCATGCGATGATAAATGTCAAAATTTGTTCTACCAGCGGCACATGCCAGCCAACCATTTTCTCTGACAAACCGAATTTGATGATATTAATCGTTATATAAATGGATCTTAATATTGTAACCATCGTAAGGCAAAGCTTGGTATTGTCATGCCAAGTTTAACTCCGATGGTTGACATTAAAAGGGTTATGAATTTGGCAATAAATTAGATATCTGGATATTTACGATTTATTAGGCATTTATTATAAAAAGAATTTTAAGTTATGTTATCTTTATTTAGAAGAGGAATTTTGAGGAAGCACTTATATACATGAATATTTTTTTAGAGTGTAATCATAACGACTACAGCGTACTCGCAGTAGATTCTGCGTATTTGTGGCAATCCACATATTCGCGGTTGCATGAAGTAAGCCTCCAACAATAAATTACTATGCCTAATACTACTAAGGTAAGATTAACATGGCTATGATAGTACAATTATGGAAGGTAAGTGACAACTTAAAGAATTAGACAAATACGGAAGTGAGGAGACACAGGAAAAATCAATCGTTACAATATATAGAATTAGAATTAACATAAGTTAATCCTGAATCTACTTAAGTATGATCTTGACTGTATTAATATTAAGAGGTTTAAGTAATTTTAGCATGAAAAATTACATCATTATAGTAAAACAACGAATAATTTTTAATATATAATAAAATGTCGATCATGTGAGCTTATATAATGCAATGTGATTGGTAATTTCAGTGATCGCTGAAATAGAGGGCTCTGATTGGCTGATGTTGACGGACGGACATTCCACTTTAATATATAGATTTCTAAGATGTGATTTCTATTTCTGTATTATTGATTATAAAACCCGCTATTGTCTTATCTGTAAATATTAAAAATCTAATTTATATTGATGATAGAAAATTAAAAAAACTTGTAACCTATTTGTATAATAAACATTCCCTACTAAATCGATAATGAATATTTGAATCACATTCTCTTATGTAACCAATCCCATTACTCATTAATCTCTGTGCTAATCCTAACCCATTCTCATACCAAGTCATACAAACTTAAAGTTAAAAATACTAATTAAATATAAACCACGTAATTTCTTCTTATCAGGCAAGATCTGATGGATACATGGGTATTCGGCAAGATGATAGCAAAAGCATGTGTCTAGTGATGTGCAGCGTACAGTACTATACGTACTGAACTGTACGTACGTACGTACGTACGTACTGTACGCTAAAATTTGTGCCGATTACTTGTTCCAGCCAATCAGATGCCAGAAAAAGAACTATACGTACAGTACGTACTGAACGTACGTACTGTACACTAAAATTTTTCAGATATCATATAAATGGCACATCACTACACGTGTCCGAAGGCCACGTGCGTTGCTATCTCACATAATACGTTACCAACAGACAAAGATGTTTCAGAACTTCTTAAACTCTCGCGAGTACATAATACAGATAAATGAATGGCAAAATGGTTACAAGCAGTTGACAGATATAGAGAAATATCCAATTGCAAAAAAACTATTTCAAAGCATACCAAATCAGTGAGCTTGAAGACTTTCTTTGTAAATTTCTTGTTTGGTCAAAACGAATAGATGGAAAAGAAATAAAGCTCATACAATAATTATAACAAAGATCAAAAAATTTAGAATACAGCTTATGATAATTTACCATATGAAGAATTCAATAACTTTCGCGGCAGTGGTGTAAATTTTTTTGATTATAATAATAATCCAGAGATTTATAGTAGTGTTTATTATCTATGCATTTAAATAATAACTATCATAATAAAGTACTTTTTAATTTTTTTTTTTTTTTTTTTTTTTTTTTTTTTTTTTTTTTTTAGATTCGACTCT